GTTGTGTGTGTATATATATATATATATATATAGTGTGTGTGTTGATACCACTTATCAAGTTCCTAATATATATTATGTGTTTTTCTGCTATGTGCACGGCTAAGCTATGCAGGTCATCTGTATGCAGGTGTATCCCAATGAAAGAAAACGTTTTTATGCCCAACATATTTAAACAAGTTCTGGTTTCTCGGTTTATCTCAGCTCAAGCAAGCTCATCATCGTACTCATGAGCGTTCATCTATGTGAGTCCGCTAGTAGGCGCGTGTTCAGCCGAAAATTCGCAAAAACCGATGCAACAACAGGCACACGCACTCATTCACACGGCGGTCGCCGCGCTAATCTCAAGCAGCTGCACACGAACCGCAACGAAACAATTCAAAGAACTCCAGCCTCGCTCCAGAAGCGCGCTGGCGCTCCGCTGTCGTCGACAGTAGGATGTTGTCCTCCCGATAAAATGCCACGGTCCATTTCCATTGCCGCTTCGGTTCACGAGGGGTAGAAAAAATCCGTCTGCAATTGGCGGCCACAGATTTCTCTTTTCATTTAAATGCCCCTGGTTTACCGACCAGAAACGTCAGTGATACGCGCGCGATAAAGTCACCGCTGACTATACGTCAATAATCAAATGCCTCAGCAAGCTGACAAGATCTTTTCAATTAGTTCACCCAGACATGAACAGCTCCCTTAAATTTCCCCCTTTATCAACACATCAGGCACGCGCCTAAGCACTGATGTTTAATTAAACCGTCATCCGCCATTGTGTGAGCGGGACAAGATAAGTTCACCCGACAATGTGTGTACTATATGTATATATACATGGTCTTCACGACAGCTCCATGACTATCTGTAAGCTCTACCAAGCCAAGTGTTGAAAATAATAAATATCGCCATAAACATCCCATGTACAAGCCCTTCTATCCTGTTTTAGCAGTAAAACAAGCAACGCTTTTAGACGGAAAAAGCAATGAAAAAAAAATACCAATAAGAGGCTACTTAGTGAAATAGGTTGAACAAATTTACAATTTTTCTCTTTTATTTTTCTCAAGTTGTAGTAGGCACAAAGGCACCATTAGGTCCTAGATTATATAGCCTTTTCGTGCAAGTTTAGCAGCAGACACAACGAAAATGGTAATGCCGAACTGTCAACAAAAGCAAGCAAATCCAGTTTTTTGTACCTGTATTAGCCACCTCACTATTACTACAAAAAATGCGACGCGATTCAATACATCGGTCAATTGTGTCAATGTTATTAATCTCGACTAAATAACAGATTTTCGAGCAACATTCTTGTTTCTATCGGAAATGCTCAGGTTTTAACAACGAATCCGCTTTCCTCAGAGCTCTTTCTAAGCTCATTAATCCGATAGTGTATGTCTGATCAGCTATTAAAACCAACGACGAGTTTACACCTATAGTGACCGCCAGTCCCGCGGGAGACATGATCTCAGGTGGTTGTGCTTAGCTATAATAAGCCACAGAATTGTCATGGGCTGTCAGTATCTTTTCAGCTTTCTAAGCTATCCTGGCGGATCAATGATCATCATACATCGATGTTACTCAAAACTGTCCAATCGAGACGCATCAGCCGAGATCAACCCTCCGCATTGGAACGCCAACTCGCCAGACGGCGAAGAGCTAGAACTATTTCTATCGTGCAAGAATATCCGTCACGCCGCTTAATTTTACTGCTTTACTTTTGTCTCTTCTTGTGCCTGTGCAGCTCTTCGTCCCAAAAAGGAAACATTACCGCTTCATCAAACGTTCCTGGTAGCGCCAGCCGGGTACGTTCTGGGTAATCCGTTCGCTTTCTTTCCCAGTCGATTTTATGTTCGTTTTTGTTTTTCCTTGCTTATTGATTTACACAGATCAATCAATCCGTCATATAATGACGTCAAACCTCTACACAATATTTTCCCCACCTTTCTGGTGGTAGTAACATGACGATAGAATTCGTCCTGGTTCCCCTGCTTTTAATCCACCGTAAAACCCCACTTCCAGTTAGCCTTTAACCATCTCAAATGAAGCTAAAACGTTGTCCCGCTTTCTTCCACGGTATTTTCTCTCCTTGCGCATCAATTAACATCAACACATCAATTAACCACCAAAATCAATCAAGCAGTCAATCAGTCAACCATCAACGAGGATGGGTCCGTCAAATTCGCAGTCTGCAACAATTATTTGTGTTTTCTCTCATCGCCACCCTCGTTATCGTTTTTGAGCCTCGTCACCTGGTAGAGCCGTAATAGCACAGACACGTCATCATCAATCAATCATCGCCTCGTTCGTTTGTTGATCAATCATCAATCACGTCCGTCCGTTCATTCATTCATTCATCCTCTCCCATCTGTCCTTCCGTACATCAATCATCCACATATTTATATATATAATATCCACTTTAGCAGCAGGCTAACAGATGCGCCCAGCGTACACTGTGTAAATATTGATTTTTCATATTATCGTCTTAATAATGATATTAATAGCAGTCATTAAGTCAGCAGTCATCGTGACGGTGTCATCGCGAATCTTTAACTATTAGCTCACCGTTGTCTTCACGTTTTTTCCGTGTGAATCGCCTCATTGCCTTATGATAATCAATATGGACTGCATATCGTTATTTAATGCGAGTGGCGATAATGATAATGGTAATAACTACCCTTATAGTTGTCCACCATCATCACCGTCATAGTAATCATTTAGGGTGTTTTTGGCCAAATTTGATTTTTGTTTTTTAAAATGTATGCATATGTGTGTTTGTATTTACGTTCGTATGTACCGCCGCCATACTGACTTGTTCTGATGATGTTGACGGTAACAATAATTCATAGTAATCATATAGTAATAATAATATTAGTAATAATAGCCGTTCTTGCTGTTGTTGGTGATGATATCAATGGTCATGACACAGTATCAATAATCATCGCTACGTATCCATTCAGCGGTCCATTACTATCAGCATCTTCATGATGTGGAGGTGCTCCCTTTGAGCTAGTGGTAAATCTATACAAATGTTGTCGCTGCATTCATCGTTGCAATATTGTGAAGTTAACATCGTCGTTCTTAGCTGGCGGCGGGCAAGTGAACAAAAATGCTCGCGTCTCATCACCGACAACACGCTGCAAACGATAGCAGACGACAGTTTATAGTATAAATAAAAAGTGCACGTATACAACAGAAAGAAAAAGAAACACGCAAGATTGGATTGCGTTAGCAGGTAGAATAGAACATTTGGCTTCGTAAGGTATGCTTCCTGGAATGATGATGTCCTTGTACGCATCTACTCAACTAGAAACAGCTGATCCGTAGTTGATAACTATACTGTGGTCTAGGATCCCGTGGGAACAAATATTGCCTGTTTAACAATAACTCACTTAGAGTTCCATATCCTTTGTTATTTGATCGGACGATGATGCGTCGGTGTCTTCGTCTGAGAATTCGCTCATCGATGATTCCGAATCGGAGTCGTTGCCGCCATCCCCATCGAGCTCATCCGAGGCGAACGGGCTTCTTTGGGAGTCTTCACTAGCATACTTCTTGACGTACTCGAGCACCTATTGGATTGAATATCAACATCAAATTGCATTATGGTTGTGTTTCATTCACATGTGTGTACATGTGTACAATGCTATTGAATTTATGTGACGGCACATCAGTACTCTACATGGGACATGTGCACGCTATCTATATACCTGTTACCACACGTCGCGTTGCTCTTCCGCTTCATTTTCGTCACTCAATATCCATTCAGAACAATTAGATTATCAGGGTCAGCTTTGCTACACTAAAGGTTCAAGCTGGGTTTAACACTTCACGTAATGATATACATAATATATAGAACATTATAGAAATACGCAATTGAATGAGATGAACGACCACCATTGACTCTCTGTCTTCCATTTTAAACACGATGGAACAACGAGACAATCTACCGGTCGTAGTGAAGCAATGTGCCGTTCCCTACTCACTCTTCCCGTCTTCCCGGCTGGATGTTAATGATTGTTCTTTCTCGCCGCGACCACGCCAGCCTCTGTATAAACACGGTCTGACTGTCTGCTATTGTATTGCGTAGTTGAGCCAACTGCGAAAACCTTTCGGCTGTTCAGTTTGCCAATGATCATAACCCAATGGCCGTCGGCTGCGTAGCTGTCCGGCTCTATGCCGTTCCGGCGGTCGGCTGGCTGACTGGGTTCGAGTCAGCCACTGCTCCACTCCGCCACCTTCGCCTGCTGGCATCAATGTGGCCAAAACAACCGAACAACGCTCTATAGGCGAACAAACATAGCGAAAAAAACTGGCGCAGCATGGCGACGGTGTATAACAATATCGCATATAGACACAGACACACACACACATCGTGAGCACGAATTGGCTGGTGCGGTTGGCGTCAATCCATCTCGGCGTTACTCCTGTGTATAATGGCTGTGATGGTATTGGCGAAACGACGTCGTCGCGACGATGGCGATGACGCTGCTGGATGCTATAGTGCATCGGTGTTTCTCGCGGTTTACGTTATTACAAAGGCCAGTAAAGGGCTGCTAGCAAACATGGGGACATTTCTCTAGTTCACTCTGACTAGACGGGTCGATAAATCGTTTTTCTTCACCTGTCAAGACCTTTTCTGAGCCTACCTCGCCGGTGACGATGGCGTTGTTACCTAAACTTGTTTCCGGAGGTTCTTTTGGTAAGGCTATTACTACTATTACTACTACTACTGCTGCTGCTGCTGCTGCCGCCGGTTCCTGTGCGTTGTTTTCGCCGGAGAGCGTGTGGTGGTTAGTGGAAAAGCGGCAGCCATAGGTGTGGGCAGAGTCTCTATCTCTGTGTAGGTAGAAGGTTGATTAGGTCTGTCTTGCTCGCTTTCGTCCTCCCGTCTTGCCCTTCTGCTTCCACCTTCCGTTTTCTTTCAATAGCACTAGTCTCTGCCTTAAGTTTATCTTCTGCTCGTGGTAGTCTTCATCGTTTCGTCGATCGCCGTCAGCAACAACTAGTACTGCTACTCCTTTAAGAATTGGCCACGCTGGATATATTTGACGCTGACTTCAGAGTCAGGCGTCTCTTAGCTACAGCGTCTTTCCAAGTATTTAACATCGCCACCGGCACCGTTGCTTCATTGACCCTGCTACCAACAAACGGACAGACTAAAATATAGCACCCGCTCGGATGTCTGTCGGTCAGCGGTCGATAATATTGGCAACGTAAGCGATGATTTCGCGAACTAATAACTCCTGTATGTATATATTCTCGTTAGCTCTCACTCGCTGGCTAAATATCAGGTGGATCTTCCGTCGCAAAGCAACAATCGTAACTCCCGCAATGAAGATCATACAACACAAGCGCCACATATGAAAAGATAAATGAAAATCACAGCGTCCGGCCAAAAAAAAAGCCAGAGGAAAAGACACAAGACCAACGGGACCGTGTTAACAGCGTCAAACCAGAGATTTTACCATATGTTCGAATGCGCGCCCAAATAATTGTAAGTGCAGCCTTAGAGGCACTAACAGCAAGTACACTACGCTTCATTTAAAAACAAAGGGCGTAAATTTTTCTACAGAAAATATAGGTAGCAACTAGTAAGATATTCTTCTATATGATCGTTGCGCGCTCCGCGTAGGCGCCTATATTTCCTTACATTTTTGTCGCATTGACGCGCCATAATGTATCGTCATCGTATTAGTAGACCATTCATTGATTGGAAAAAAAGTTGCCAATTAAAACGCATTTTTCGCCAATACGGGTAACTGTCTGGATACAATCGATAGTTATAGCAGTTACTGGAAGCTGACTGTACAATATCTGGCTACCTTTTATACTGAAGGCGTTTGCCGTTTCTGTCCGTCTATTTTCAATATCTGTCCGTGGACGAGAATCTATTTGCTGCTCAGGTAATCTGCTGATCAACAAAACTAACCCTTTCGGCTGTTGCTATGTCCTTTAGAAAACTAGAAAATGTAGCCAACAAGCTCTTTATAGCAACAACAACACTAAATGGCACGTTCGCGTACGCTCTAATGAAAACTGACGACGCTTAATTTGATACAACCTAACCTAGGTATAAACCTTATGAACTACTGCATGGCGCAATGTTTCACCATTTGATCACAACGAAAATATGTGTCATAGTATTACTAATGGCTGATACATAACGGCTCAACTAGCAGGCGTAATACGTGAAACGTATTCAGTTACGGCTGACTGTAGATTGATTTGATTATTGTACACAGTATTTGGTAATTGGGTAAATATAGTCATACGGTCTTTCCGATGGATTGCGTAGCGTATAGTTACTGTGAATACTAATAAGAGTAGTAATAGATAATACTTGACTAGGCCCAAGCCTATTATCTGTGTACGCAAGAGGTTTGACAAAGTGTGTCTGAGATCCCGTTGTACATTATCAATTGTGGTTGTTTTTCTTGAGTTATGTTGATCACCAACCTTTTTCTTGTACTCCTCGGGTTTATGAAGGTACATTGCTGCCGCGTCCCCATTGAGCGGGTCAATCGGGTTCGGGTATGTCAACAGTTGTGGTAAGAACGTGTCGAAAATATTCGACAGATCGTACAATGCCGTCCATGCCTATAGCAAACATAAAATAGCCCTCAGCAGAATAAGAACCATAAAATTACGTTTGTTAACAACGTGTTCATAATTGAATCTACAGACCAAGACAGAATTATCAAGTACGAGCATGGCAGAGGCACAGCTCTACCTGAAGGCTTCAATTCAATAAAGATCAGCTTTACGAGAGAGTTCCTACAGCTGGATCGTACGGTCATATTTGCACATCGAGATTCAACCACATGGAGTGCGATCACTATGGTCTTCCTGTACGACACGTGTATGTAGTTCAGTTACAGTCAGTCATACATTTTCTTCAAGTTTTCTTCGAATACGAGTGCCCCCCCAATCGAACGGAATCACATGAAATCCCATAAGCCAATGTCTCTGCCTAATAATATGAAAGAGGTAGAATCGTTCGTCTTACGGCAGGATATTATTCGATATAATTTGCAATACAATACGCGGCTAACTCAAAAAAACATACATGTTTCCGTGATTAAACTATGAGATTGGCCTCGGCCGGCCTCGTTTCACTAGCATTACGATCATAGATGGACAACGCCGCTTAGCAGGACGTCGTCTTTTTTACATAGAACTATGCGTTAATCACGAGAACGATTTCCGTTGGCCTTTTTACAGTATGGAAGGCCAAGCGTTCCAGAAGGAAAAATCGATGCAGTTGTTTATAATGTTGTTAAGAAAGAAACATATCACAACAATGTCGCGTTGTCTCGATGGGGGTTGTTTACCTGGTTAATCACATCGAGACAAACGGTTCCAGACACCTCATCGATGTTTGGATGGTAGATCTTGTTGGTGAAGCCGATTGAGGGCGATTTGAAGGGATACTTGTCTGGGAGATCGACCCGCACCCTCCAGATGCCGCCTGCAAATACCATAATGGGGAGAGAAGACAGTCCTTGTGTAGAAGTACGTAAACTTACGTATAATTTGATCATATGGAGCGAAACGGACCGTTCAATCTGCCGTAAATGAATGGACTACCTGTGTTTTTGCGGTATGTGAATCAAATTGTTGTTGTGAATTTGCAATAATTGCAGGACACAGGTATGGCCGTTATCGATCTTTGAATAGATCACCTAACAACAAACCCTGCGAGTCTTCATTGAATGTGCTGAGTATGGCATTAGTGTCGATGTTTCGAGACTAAATAGATAGAATTGAAATTACTTTTTAACACGACTTTGACCTGTAGCTGTTGAAACAGGAATGGACGTAGTGGATTTGGCTTAGTCCAATCAGCGCTGGCAATTATGACATTCTTGTTTCGTCTTTCCGTACACTTAGAAGCATTATAAAATGCTATTTCTGAACTATAGTACTGCTGTCGCTAAATCGCGTTAGCATTTAGTTGTCCACAATTAAAAAGCAAGTGATAATTACCTTCGTAAGGGGTGCCTTTTGGTCCATAGAATTTAACCGAGAACTCATTTAGTCCACCTAGGATGGTGACTTCGTGTTTGGACTCAATTAGTTTGATCACGTCTGTGTCCATCCGCCGCTTACCAGCTATAGGAGACGACATTGTAAAACTGTATTGGTTGACGTGTGTTACTGTAAGGATTGGTAATAATGGACTTCTTGAAACTCCCTCCTTCCCTCCAAGAGGGAGTCTCGCTTGATTTGCTTGCACTCGGGTCCGGGTCGCAACAGTGCCGCCAACTTAACCAGAAATACAGCGCCTACCGTTTTCCGACCACCTGTCAAATAGCGTAATCAGAGAACCAAAGAACAAATACTGTATTAAGCATCGTTCATATATATATATATACATATGATACAGCTGTCGAGTTCACAAATTTCATGATGAAAATGATGGCCAGGCCGTTTTTAAATCAATCACACATCAAATTATTTCGCAATGTCCTTTCATATATATAATGATGCTTGATAGTGATGGCCAAAGCCAAAACCAACTAGTCAGTATCTACCAGTTACGGGCTTTGCATTGGCTTGAAATACGTAGACCTGCGATTGGGAATAACCCAGCTAGCAGAAGCGTTTATGTGTGAGATTCAAGTTGTAACTGAATGTTCCTGAATGTTCCTGCTTAGTTAAATCTTGTTGCCGAACCCCACCCAACTAGAATCACCCCAGAAGCAATCCCTGCTTATACTTAAAATATTCAGAAAAGGCTGGTCTGTAACAGGCCAAACGACTACCACCAATACTAATATCAGCTGAATCACAACAAGCAAAAACATCGGCAGATCTTTTTCTCATATGATACAGTAAACTGTTCTCCCGATAGGAACATTTTTAACGAAAATCGTTTTATTTGGAAACAAGACAAGACACGGCACGATCATGATAAGAAAGCTTTGTACATGTTCACTTGAACAGCTTTTCCAATTCGGCCACAATAGCCGCTTGGCTTTAATACGTTGAAATAACGCGTCTAATCGTTTAACATAGGCGTTAGTTTGATCTTTCTTTCTGCAGTGAACCCGAGTAAACAGCAAAATTACCGTGAAAACGCATTAACGTTTCTGGTTAGTTCAATTCGGTACCAAGGGCCTTTCGCGTTCAGTTGGCAGAATCAGGCAACAGTCACCAAAAAACCACACTGTGCCCCCCGTAGCCACCTGTTAGTGGCTGCTACCCGGCATATTTGCCGCTCGAGACGCTGCTAACGGACAACAAAATGAGAGCCAGTGAAGGCTTTAAATTGGGGTAACGGCAATTTCTACTACGGGGGCTAATGGAGCCGCTGCTGCTGCTGCTGCTGCTGCTGCTGTTGCTGTTGCTGTTGATATCGGTATTGCTGTCGCTTTTGCAGTAGCTGCCACCGCATTTGCGGCGGAAGGACAACACGGACTACTGGGTGCGCAAGATGATGCCAGCTGCGCCCGTACCGGCTACCACGCAGCCGTTGAGTCAACTGACGGCCGGCAGACGCAGCGTTCAACAATAACGATATGAGAAGCAGCGATGTTGGCCCCCAACAATAACATCGCTATGTTAAAAGGGAGGTAAAATCGCACGCTGCTGCAGGTGACCGCTCCACTGACGGAAGGAAGTTTGTGGCTGTTGCAGTAGGCGCGCGACGGCAGCAGCAGCAGCAGCAGAAGCACGAGCGGCAGCAACTAGAACGCTTTCTCGCGTGTTGACTGTCCGTACGCCGTGAGTATTCACGTAATGTTTGTCTCAGCGGTGTGGAGCTGTAAGCCTCTTGTGCGTTGTACGTGTGTCGCCCGATGCGTTCGCCCGTCAACATCAGCATAACCTTGACACGACGACCTTGCCTTTGTACAATATGGTAGAAGAGAGCTACAGCCACAACCGGGGCACCCGCGGCAGGAAGGGGGGCAGCAACGAACGCTAAAGGTACGCAGACGCTAACCCTGATGCTGTAGCTGCAGTAGCAATAACAGGGTTCAGTTTGCGGGAAAGCTGATCATTGTTTGATCATGGTTTACGAGGCTTATTGAACTAAATAGAAAATAGCATTTTCTTGTCCGTACCGTATGCGTACCCCTCGAGGAGGTACTGAAGCAGAAGTACCAGTCAGTCAGTAGCCGTATTACTGACGGGTTGGTCAAATGGTCCGTCCGTCTCTCCAGTTCGTTTGTCGTTGTCGTCGTCGTCGTCGTCGTCGTCGTCGTCGTAGCTCCACTAGCTATCTCATCCAGAAAGCGGTCGCTGTTACAACGTTCGTGCCTTCTACCGTTGCTGTTCAAAACCGCGCTTCCGACATAAATGATAGATTGATGACATTGAGCTGACCATCATCCATTTCGATGGTGCGAAATCGGTGCGATTGCTCCTGCAATAGCCGGCTGTTTTCAGCAATCATCTAAAGTCGAAGATGATGAGTAAAAACACAAAACGGAATAGAATCAATATGACGCACATAGTTCAGATTTATAGCTTACATCGCACGAATCGATTGTATATGTGTCTGCATTAAGTTGTGGTAATGTAGCTACTGAGTGAGTGAGTGAGTGAGTGAGTGAATATCTCGGGGACGTCTCTGTCTAGACACGAATCGCCGAATCTGGGTATTGTGTTGTTTACGCATGCGTTAAGAACAGGAAAAAAACATCTAGCTTATCACCCTTCATGTCACACCAACCATTTTAAGAATCGATTGCATTTTGCTATCGTAACCTGTGCCGGGTGAAAGCTTGTAGTTATTAGAACTTGTCTAGACAAAGACAAAGTTCGTACATCAAATCCCTATAAAATTCGACTGCGGTCACGTTTCGATGAAACAAAGCCAATGCATATACAACAGCCGCAGCCTTAAAAACATACAGCATAGACCGTAGCGAGCATACACAGGAAAAACACTTCGGCGAATGAAGCATCAGCTGCTGCCGCTGTCGTATTCGTAACATTTTCCAGCGAGAGTTTACAGCATAGTCAAACCAAGGGCTCAGCCATCGAGTACTCATCATATACCAGCCACATGAGGCGGTGTACTCTTGCACGTAGCCACTGGCTCGTGCAGCAGTGATAGAGACTCCATCGAATGTCGATGAAACCAGAAGAATTCTTGTTGAAGCAGAACTGATTATGCGGCTTTGCTGCGAATTGTTCAACGGGAGCAACTCAACCCCATTGGTCTCTCAAAGCCAGAGTCGTCTGTCAATCTACTGACATTTTCTACTGCCTTTTGGCAGACCAAAAAGGACCAATATCAACACTGAAAGTCACACCACAACCGGCTACCAATGTTGAGCACAACATAAGAATGACTATGCGACAAGAGAATTCAACACGACAGAATCTCATTGCCAGCACCAGTCGGTCTTTTAACGGTAGCTTTAATAAGAGCTGATTTACATTGGGCAACATTATCATGATAGCGTTCTCATCGACAAAAGTAATAATAACAATTATTATTATCTAATGACTCATCTGTAGCAGCAGCAGCAGCAGCAGCAGCAGAACGTATTCACAGGCAAACCGTACGTAGATTATAGAATAACTAACAAGTCACATAACTTCGCCATATTTCGCTCGCCTTTAACCACTGCGTTGTCGCCCCTTTTTTTCCCAGTCTCAAGTCAGCGGTCTTAAGACACACGATGCTGTGGTAGCAGTGCACCCACCTCTATAATTAATTTCGGGATCTCCATGAAAAGTGAGGAACTCTTTTGTAGAGTTTGCCGAAACACTGAATCTCCTCTTCTTGTTCCTCCAGGTCAGATAAGACCAGTTTCCATCACTTGACAAACTAACTACAGCGTTACCATATAGTGCCGCAATGACATCAATTATGTCCAAGTAGCAGATCACTAACCAGTTTGTCTGCTGTTGTTGCTCGAATCAGCGTTACATAATATTTTCCTTTTACAACAATCGGCTGTATCCAGTCTGTTTGTCTAGTTAAAGAAAGCATACTAGGACATTCGGCTCAATAAGGCCCCGGCATAGGGTCCATGGGCGAGAGGCGACTGCAACACGTTTGTCGCTGCTCCACCTCATGCAACAGTTCGTGAAAAACTAATTTTCTGAAGGTTCGAAGGCTCCAATAACACTGGCAGCAGTAAGCATTAATAGCAAGGCATACGACGCTCGACGCAGCAGTTGATCGCCCAGTCAAAACTTTTTTCCCTTCTTCAAGAATGAGAACACCGTCGCTATAATAACAGCAAGCTGCTGGTGGCAAACAGACACATTTACATTTCACGTAGCTATACAAAATGGCTAGATATGAGTGACATCGGTACATGTACACACGGATACACATAAATTCTACGCAAAACCCCATACGCAACTACTAACCGGCGAAAAGTTCAACAACGAACGTCTTCATAAACTACCCCAACATGTTCTCTTGGGCAGCGCGCATCACGTATAGACACAATCAATGACTAATCAAGCAACGGAATTATTAATTTCACCAACTCACCAATTCTTCAGCTACGGAACCTGAAAAAACCTCCACCGATTCCACTCAGCGAATTTTTAGAAATTATTCAGTGCAATTTTGTGACGAAATTGCGAAAAAGTCCACCGCTAAATGCCACCAGCTCAGTTGAGCGCTGCTCGGTCGGCCGAATCCGCTCGAACAAATTCACTTTCGTCATAGCAGAGCTACATCGGATGGTCGTCAACAAAGACGTTATAACTAGTCGACCATCACATATCACACGAACAAATACAGCCTCACGACGACGATCGCAATGTTCTCTTCTCTCATTTGATTTTGTTCGTCGTCGCCATCGCTCTCTCTCCTCCCTCTGCAGAGGTATTCCCCTTTCTTTTTTGTATATTTCTTGGCAAGAGGCAACCACCAATTCCACCATGGTCATAAGCGTGACCACTATTACCCTATGCCAAGGAAGGGAGCAATGGCAACGGTAGCGTGTATGCGCGATATAGAAACAGCGCTTATTGGGAAACGTTCTCACTGATAGCTAAAACGCCTTTCCTCCCTTGTTCCCTCGTTTGTTTGTGTCACGATGCAACGTTTGTCAGTCGTCTGTGCCGATGTGTGCGTGTCTTATGATAGCACTCAGCGATATAAGCCTGAGACCGCGTCAGCAACAGGATAAGCATAGGCAAAAACCCTGTTGTTAATGGTAATGATGACGATGATCATGATTACGTTTGCTGCATGCTACCCTTTCGACGGAGCGCCATACAGGTAAATTACTATCGTCTCGAGCGTCATTTTGCATAGCAACCGCTACCAATCCACTCCCTGTTTGTCGTATCGGAAGTCGTAACAACGTTCCAGCAAAAAATCACCCGTCAGCCCAGGCGCGTATTCCGTACGCGGATTTGTATCACAGCTCTCCGACACGTACGCATATATTGACACACACGCATCGAATGCGGATACCAACTCTGCCAGCGCTTGTGCTCCATAACTGTTCGACGACACAACTTCGTTCTGTTTCAGTTCTCTACACAGGAAGGCGCGATATCGTCGCTGCCATCATGCTAGACGTCGTCCACGTCAGAGTTATTACCAGAACAAGACAAACTATTGCCTGTTGCTGACGTATCTATGGTTCGTCACTTCATTGAAGAGTATACGGCCATACGTGCGGATCAATACAGGATTCACATATGTACATGTATACATATAGAGGATGAATGTATTTTAATTTAATTCACACTTAGAATGAACGCATGTATACTAGCGCTGTGACCTAAGCATATTGACCGCTTGACTGATGATAGCATTGACACGCGAGCATTCACAGCAGAATAGTTAGTAAGCGTACAGGAAAGACAGCTACTGAAGGAGTATTCTCCTGAATTCAGCAACTGTTACGCAACGGGTCTCTGGGCAAGTAATTAGGTAGAAGGCAAAGCGGTAGGGCTCACTCAGCAACAACTATTTTCAAGGCAGGCTGCGTTCGATTGCACATCTCAATCGGTCCTGTAACTACAATGGGAAATCTAACAGTCATATTTGTACATGTATACCGCTGCACGAGCAACAGCAACAACTTTATAGAACTATTTTGAAGCGCACGGCAATAGCCCTTTTGACTGCGCGCGATTAAGGCCCTAGTGCATAAAAAATCAACCAGTTATGAATTCTAGTCGTTCAGTAGAAAATTTATATAGTGAACCGCAGCAAGACGCAACGTCGCCGCCAGCAATCGTGTCACATATGCGTCGGCAAGCGGTTTAACAAGTCGACTGACGCTTGGTAACAGCATCAACCACAACAACAACAGGACGTAGCAAGTTGTGTAGTACGTCCCGAACTGTCGTGATAGTGATACGACAAATGTAACAGCTATTAGGTAGTTAACGCCGATGAGTTGTTTGTTTTGTTCTTCTCTTTTGTTGATTATTGGTTTTATTATCATTTTTACATTAGTCGACAGCATCGCCGTTGTCATCGTAGTCCACATTCACATTGGACGCAAAGCCAGCCGTGTAAACGTCGCCATCGTTTGCTATCGTCTGTTGACGTCTACTACTGTTCTCAAAAGCGCTAATCAAGTTGTCCACTCTTACGTGTTGCATGGGCAAAATGCTCGCCACAAAAGCGGACAGGCCGACAGCAATGCCATACCAGTTGGCAGGACCAGCACCCGGTAGGATAATAGGCAGTCAATGTTGACAGCAAACAGACGACATACAACCACTCCCATTACTTCCCAGTCTGGGACGCTAGCGGCACCCGCCGTAGCATGAGCTGAAGTGGCAGCACCGGTGCCAACAGAGTTCGCCACACAACAACCAGCAGATAACAACCGTGAGTACAGCAGCAGCGTCACAACAAAGAACACCGCAGCTGGACAAAAATGCCAGCAGCAATGGTTCGTGTGTTGTCATTGTCGCTGTTGTTGCTGCTGCTGCTGCTATGGCACGATAGCAACGGCGAGGATACCGCTTATGGTGCGATCGATCGACCGACAGCCGAAAGTCAATCGCTGCTGGACCTGTGAACAGATGGACAGGACTATCTCTGCATATCTGGTCCTATTTTGGAGCGTGAATCCCTTCGTGGCTTCACCTGCGTCAGTCCGCGTAGTAGTATCAGCAGCGCCACCGTGACCAGTATATGCAGAAGCAGCATTGACCGCACTAAGCACTTACTCGCTATAGCTGAGAGCCATCATCGACAGCCTCTGTTGACCAGACTGACTAGGGATCATGGATAAACATTTAGAGACTGTAGGAGGGGAGGGACGCTGCTAAGTTGGTCCATCCACCCTCATCGGTGGAATGGTCCACGATGGCCTCCTGCTGGTCGCCCGTGACTACTATTCCTATTTTGATAGTTCAGTTATGCCATAAACATCGGTGATTGTAGGATATTGCTTACTAATAGCATACAGCTCAGAGGCAGCGGTCACAAAAGCAGGTGGCTTCTTGTAAAAGTCGCAAGCATAGCTAAGTATTGGCCCGTTCACGCATGCTATCAGCTGTTTGTTGTTGGGACTGTTGATGGAACTGCTAGAACAGAAGGAAGAGAATCGCGGAGCTCGAGAACTCCATAGAGCCTCAAGCGGCAGATACATTCTAGGGTTTGCTATATTTTGCCGACGACAGTTTACCAAACATTGCCGCCCGGACAGACGGAAGAACTCAGAGCGACCTGATCTTCCAAAGGATCGCCGGTGGGCGAGGCTAGCTTGTGGGTAGAAAACGAGTTTCTACAGAAACAAACATCCAACCATCAACGCCGGCGAAATCGGGCGCACCAGCAGCAGTGGTGGCGGTGTTGGTGATCAGCGTGGTTGGTGACGGACGATGAGAACAACAGGGCACGAGCAGTGACGTCTAATTTTCCTGATCGTCATTTTACGTCCTCCCTGACTTTGGCGTCTATAGCTGATGGTGCAGCTGGTACTATTTCCGCTATAGTAGCCAGCAGAAAAGCGAGAGCGAGAAAGCAACGGGGAATGAAGAAACACTGCCAGCAGCAGCAGCAGCAGATTAAATGTGACCCAAATTTACTGACTTTGCACCCACTTGGGGGGCAAGCGCAGTTGTTGGCTATGGCGGGTTTGTTGAGGACTCACCAGACGAAAGCTAGCAGTAGCAAGAACACCAGCGCTGGATCGTTGTAGGGCCGCGCGTGGTACAGCCATCATCTGTAACAGCAGTAGCCGTGGCGCTGAAATGTCTATCTGTAGGTGTCACACTATATACATTGATTGAGACAGAGGGGGCAATCGCACCTATTGCTCAGTTACAAGGTGAGTAGCACTAAGTCATCATCTATTATACATAGCATTTTTTGTTACACGAATGCTACGCGATGGCTGCTGTTGAGCTTGTTTGGTACCTACAATACGAACGGTTGGGGGTTGAGTGAAGTCAGCTGAGACATTTCCTTATTCATTTGACCGTCGTCACTATTACTCCTTAGCCATTACCTCCAAACTTGCCTGCCTGCTTGGCCCCATCACACAGTTCGTCGCTCCCGTGAAAAATGTTATTAAGGCAAACTTCTGCAGTTATGTAAAAGGCGCAGCTCGCTATTAGAATATCCTGAAGGAACTCCAAACAAATGTAAACTATGGGACCCATGAAATCATTGTAAAATTGTTATAAGATAATTAGCAAGAACTTACGATATAATTAAACAATTTAAATAGACCAGCTGTTAGCTTCACACAAAACATTTAAAATGGAAATATCACAAGACACACACACACACACAAACACTGCGCCATGTGTTCCGCACTATTACCGATTACTAGTATTACTATATGTACCTTCCAGCCTCATACATTGAACCATGCTTCAAGTCATCTTCCTTCTATTCCACTGCAGTAACATTGAATACATGAACGCGAATCCGCCCAGGCAGATCTACCTACTGCGTCTCGATGAGCAAAAAAGACGCCGCCGCCGCCGCTGCCGCCGGCGCCGCTTACTTACACGTAATCTCGCCGCTTACTTACACGTAATCTCCCATGATAGCACAAAGATACTCGAGAAATCCGACGCGCACACACACCATAAATACACAGTCAATATATCATGCACCGAAGCATGGTAGCCTACACTTCGCCTGTGACATACCCTACAGTTAACTGTGTGCAAATTAACTAGCTCGCTTGCTTTTTATAGGAAGCACAATAGCGCCAGACCATCAAACTCGCGAGGCAAGTCCGTCTGCCGTGCACGCAACCATCGACAAAATTACTAATCAGACTATGACGACGACGAAGACAGATACAATAATACTCATGGATAAATAGATCGACAGTAGTCAGTTGGTCCTTTGCTTGAACCACGACAACGATTCGCTGTCGCCGTCGCCGTCGGATAAATGGGAAAGGACGTTCTGGTTTGGTTTGTGGTGCGGGAACACCGGCGGCGGCGGCGGCGGCAGCAGCAGTCGTCGTCGTCGTCGCTGTTCGTCTGGTAACAGCGCTATAGAGCAGAGCATCCACTGGTGGTATTATGCGCCACTGCTACTTTGCTACGGACATGCTTGTAACTATCATAATAAACATCATCGTCAAATAGTAACGTAAGATCGTATGACGGTGTATGCGACCTCGGCCAGTTTTTCTGCGCGTTCGTTGTCCCCTTTAGTGATGGCGACCATCGGTGTTGTGAAAAAATGTTTTTCCGCGTCTACGTTCGCTACTTTCCAGCACTGGTTGCCAGCTGCTGCCGGCATTGCTTTCCAGCACAAAACCACGTGTGTCTACGCCCGGATTCGAACCTATACCATCACGTGTCCCTATGATTAGTAGGCAAGCAGGTCATCTACTGAGCAATCGCGAGCACCCAGCTACCGCTGCTAAAGGACCCCTTTCCTTCTTGCCACCTTTCGACCTCTCGTAGATTATACATATGCGTATATAGCTGGTACTTTTGGTGCCATCGCGTGGCAACCAAATCAACATTAGCACCGCACCGTCGCAGAGGGTGTCACTCAAAATGGTCAAAAGCTGACTGTCGTCATCCAATTCGCCGCTCGTCAGCGGCCACAACGGTAGCAGCTGCGGCTCGGTTCAGCTGATCGTCGTCAGCCGCTGCACGCGCCGCTGCTGGCGTCCGCTCTCTTTGGCTGTGGTCGCGCTACCACAGCAGCCGATGCTCGGTCAGCGGCTGCTACAAACAGCTGAGAGCTGAAACTACTGGTAGCAACGGACCGGAAGTTCACTAAAAGCTAGCAATGTCGACGGAACGACGGGCATACAAAGATAAACGCAGCGCACCATAGAGTACAGTACCCATTGCGGTTCCTTCTAGTCGAGCGCGGCAGGGTAGTACTGCATGGCGCAGATTAAGTCGCTTGCTAGATCATAAGGATACGAAAGAGACCTACAGAAGAAACACTTCCAGGAAAAGTGATGAGACGCGAATGAAGAAGCGGAGCAAGCAGTTTTGTGACTGAAGCGAACTCCGTAAGTGGCTTATTACAAGCCATCTGCTCATCGTTTGCAAATGTAATGGTTACAGAGGAGTCGATCGATAATGGCACACATACATATATACGATACGCGTCTATGAGACGAAAAAGTTCACCGTACACTATCACAGTGGAAGGGAAACCTGTAACGTGGCAATCGTTCTTTGCCAGAGTTTTCTAGTGCCTTTATGGTCGCTAGTTACGTGGCCGTAGCAACGATTCGCTGCTGCTGGAGATGGGCCTTTCATGTTTGATAAGTAAGTGTACTTTTGCTATTTGTTTGTGTGAATATTGATGATTCACTCTGGCCTCTTACTGCTGACTGGCAGGCCACTGCGCTTACTGAACAAAGGAGCTGATTAGTAAAAGGAAAGGTTCGTCTCGTCCAGAAGCTGAGCTGTTATCGGTGAAGGCTGGACTTAGTAGTGGACTAATCGATACACGTTCAAACGAGTGGAGGTTCAGACACTTAAAGACCGCAGATCTGCCTGACCATATCAAATACGTCGTTTGCCAACATTAAAAACCTTTCACTAGCGAACGATTTTGAGTCGTAAAGGTAAAGCGCTGCCTAGGAAATAGGAAAAAAAATATCAATATTCGAGCTCTGGCCGTTAGAGTATCAACACCAAAAAAATAGAGCTCTGGAAAATACGGGATAAACTTAAGAACATAGACACACGTACAGACATTCGAAGCATCACACGATATGATAGTATACAACGATATGACAGTAGAAAATAGTGATAATGAGAAATTGTCGGTCGGAGCCGGAACGACCGATCCACAATCGAATAGCAGACGCGTTACTTTACAAAACAACGGAGTGTAGTTGTTGAACAGTTTACGTTAGGGATAAACACGGAGTCATTGAAGAAGCGAGGAAAGCGGGCGGCGCTGTGGGCATTGGGGGCAAAAATTGTTTTGGGAAGGACACAGATCCTTCCGCTGCCAGCCTGTTCGGCTGTTATAAATAGGGGCAGAAAGCTTTAAGGGGAGACACTATCTCCAGCCTTCGTAGTACTCGTAGTGGCAAAGGCATAGCAGCAATGAAAGTTCAGCACTAATGAGAAGAAAAACTTCGTATAGCGATTCCTGTTTACCGAGCAGAGTACCGCCCGCCACGTTCAAGTTAACATTATAGGACGAGGATACCGTTGTGGGACAGACGAATTAGAGGGACGCAAAAGTCGTACGAGAGAATGGCAGCGGGAGCCAGTAAAAGGAAAGCTCCTCCCGGATCCCTCGCAGACCCCCCAAGGAATCAGTCAGTTCCAAGGAATCAGTCAGCTTCAGCTGATCGCTGCCGCTCCTTGTACTACCTCTGTTGACAGATCATTTGTTGCTGCTTAATCATAAAAGTTGTCGCTGCGTTCCAGCTGCGTTGAGTCGCGTCGCGTTGCATCGCCTGACATATAACGGCGCGTGGAATTTTGTTGGCTTTTGCTGTTGTGGCCATCGCTGCTCGCTGTAGCCATTAAACGCGCAAGTAGTTTAATTTCGATGTGACAGACAATGCATCGTTTAGTTACTGAACAACAGTATCAGCACGTATAAACACCCACCTATTGACAGAGACAGCCACTGCGATTAATGCTACCGGTAGGCTCAATCAAAGTAAATCAGCGGATCATTGTAGTAGGAAGCCCTAGGCCAGGCCGTTACATGAATGATCGCAGACTATCCCTCAAGTACCTCCCCTACACACGTTCTCCTTAGGTCCACCATACAGCAAACACAGATATACGCACGAGGCATTGTCATGGGAAGGCACAGGACATAAAATCGAAGAGGAACTAATCATTCACGTAACAATAACCACTAAGTAATAATAAAATACAAGCTAGTAGATGAGGCGCTCGATAGAGGCCCAGAGTGCGCATTTAATAGGGACACACGCAGCAACCGATATCGCACGACAACCACTACGGCGGTGATGCTGCTGCTGCTACTGCTGTTGTTGATGGTGGCGATGATGATAACAACGACGACGACAATGATAAGACGTAACTCGTATTATTACGCACTTCCGTCACGCGCGAACTCCGATGCAGTTCTTTAGAGCACCACATTTACCCTCACTGGCACACACTCACGCGAAAACTCTAACAACATTTAAAATGCACTTTTACAAAATCTGCTGTCCTCGATTCGATGTCGTCAGCTCGTGTGCGGCGTTGACTCCGTTCAATGCCACGATTATTATCACACTCACTGCGTACTTCACTAGTCCACCCAGTCAGTCAGCTAGGCAGGCAGCGAGCCAGTCGACCAGACCGCATCAGCTGAGCCGAGAGTCCTTTGCTGCTGAGGCCGCTGTGGCCGTGGCCGCCGCCGCTGCCGCCGCCGCCGCCATCGAGCTGTTGTGGGACTGCTCTGAATGAGAGAGGGATTGTTAAGGAGCTGCAGCTGCTGCGTCAGCAGCCGCAGTCAGCGCAGCAGTAACGGCAGAAAAACCAAATAGAAGCATCCTATCAGTCTAACACCAGCAACAAGACGGCTACAGTAAAATCAGGGTCTATCTAGTGGACGCACGATGACACACACAAACACATTGGCTATCGGATCTGCCTCGTGCTTGCGTTTCTTATTGTGTCTGTGTGCATAGTAGTGTGTAGTTGTGCGCGTGAGTGTATGTGTGTGTGTTTTGTATGGGTGTCTTTTGTGTGTGTATTTTGCGTGTGTGCCTTTTAAGTCTGTGTGTGTCTATTTTGTGTCTGTGTGTGTCTATTTTGCGTCTGAGCGTGTGTTTGTGTGCGTGTGTGTTTATGTTTGTATGTGTGTGTGTGTGTGTCTGTTTGTATATGTGTTTTGTGTGTGCCAGCAGCGGCAGTAGTAGCAGTAGCAGCGGCGTCGGCGGCAGAAGCCAAACGACGCTTTTACATAGTGAACACAAACAGCCACAGTTACACACCCCAGCAGTAACAAACGTAGCAACAGCTCATGGTAAGGGCACCAAAATCACCAGATGACCAGACGATTCGACCAGCCAGCAACGCCAGGACTCTGCAAGAGAGTTAGCTAGTATTTGGCAGCAATACAATATTGGTTTGTTGCTCGGGGCTGGCTGACCTGTACTTGCAGGTTAGGTTTGGTATCTGCTAGGAAACCGACCGTATTTAGAGCCGCTGGCACTACTGTCGCATTCGTTTGTATGGAAGAGTGACGATGGTAGTGATGCTGACAATGATTTCAATGTAATAGATAATCGTGGCATGTGTATGCGCTTGCCAATAACAAACGGTTAATATAGAACTAAGTCAAGCAGGTCCATTGACAATGATTGTGGCGAATATATATATCTATATATTCGCCGCAATCACATATAACAAATTATATATGATTGCGGCCCTTTCTCATCATATTTTTAGGAGCCATCCCCCCACCCCAAAACTCCCATCCTATCCTTTCCCTTAACTCCTCGCCCATCTGCCCCTATCTGGACAGACATCCGCCCGCCTGCGCGCCGCTTGCTCCACTTGTAATACCCATAGGCCTCTTTGTTTCCGTTTCAAGTCTATTAGCATTGCGTTTTTGATTTTATTACGAAATGATGAGCTGCTGAACGAAATTAGTTCGATCGTCTACAGCAACAGCATCGGTAATCAATTCAGTGTATTGGGCGTAAGGAACGTAAAGAACATCTGTATCGATACGTGTAGCGCACGTATGTTTCATTTTTTTCTTGATTTTACGATCACTTTTCTATAGTGATATTTTATTCAGCGTGTTACAGCATCTGATTAGTCATCTCGAATATCGCTACCCGCATTGAATAATGCTTGCAATAACCTTCAATTATTAAATAATATACGCGTCTTTACATCGACTCGACGTACGACAGCCATTGAATCGAAGCCCCCTTACTTTTCTTAGCTTGCTCAGGTTGATGGGAAAGACGCGTCAGCCTGAGACCAGGCCAGCGGAAAGTCCAGGCCGACCGACGAACCCAGTTCGTTTGCCGAGGGGTCGGCAAGCGGTCACCAACACTACTCAACCACTAAGCAAAATAGTTAAACATGCAAGCAACTAGCTAACACACAGGCACACGTAGCTGCGCTACCACGACGGCCTCTCCTCGTAGAAGCAGGCAGAGACCATCGCCAGCATCACAGCGACAGCATCCACTACACAGCAGCAGCACCAGCAGCAGCAGAAGTTTCAGCTGAATCCTCCATCTTATGGTAGCGAGAACTAACATTATATCTCGCGCACTGTCCTGACTGCTTCCGATTCCTCTGTCTTGCCCCTGTTTCTGTTGTGATAGAGTGATGCAGTTGTTGCTGTTGTTGTTGTTGTTGCAAAGATCGCCATAAGGGTCGCCAATGAAGTGAACAACAAAGAATGCGACCCACGAAGTCGTCTATGGCTGGTCTAAATCATCTGGCCGATCTGTAGTGTTGCTCGTTTCAACTGCTCGAGGTTAGCTGGTTTCAATCGGTGCTTGTTATCTGTGCATAGTAGATATTTACTAGCTGCCCGTACACCAGTTGCAATATAAGAGGCCTATAGTTGTCATCAGTATCGTTTATGCGAGCGTACTAGTCAACTTCATTCTCATTTTTGAAACGATAATGACACGACAGCGATACGCCGTTCATTGCGCGACGCTAAGAAACAACGAAAACACTAGCAGACGGACAACTGTTTACTTCGTGGTAATGTTGCTAATTCCATCTGCCTCTAATGCACAGACGTACACAAACTCATTCACGTACAAACTTACTTCGTGACAACAATTTCGTTGACAGTACGACGAAAACTAAATTAATGAAGACTGGCATTTCGCCTCGCGTCCCCCTAACTACGGCCGGTGCTGTTCATGGCAGCATCAACAACAACAATAACAACAACAACAGCAGCAGCGGCAACGGCAACAGGCAGGCACTCACAACACAGCACAACAACAGCACCAGCGGAAAAAAACACCAACACAGAGTAGTCGAGTAGCAGCAGTTTAGAAGTTGTAGTGATGGGCAATCTCTCGCGTGGCCTGCCAGTCGGCCCATTTGTTGGCCAGCTCTCAACCAACCGAAGCGGCAACAACGCTAATACTCGCATTTACGGTGACTGCAAATAGCAGAAACCTACCCAGCAACAAAACTATTTCTTTCAGGACAGCATCACGTCTAAAATGGTTTCATCTATTTTTATTGATACTGCCGCTGCGGCCGATGTTTCTAGTAAATAATACTCGATACGGAGAGCTAAGAGCGACTGTCAACAGCGTTAGCTGGACATCAGGTCATTTTTGGCTCGTTAACGAAATTTTAAACAGCGAAGTGTCTAGGTGAGACACTTTCGTCTATTGTAGGATCGCTTTGTCAGTTGTTAGACATGCACGTTAAATGTGCAAAGCATGTTGCACGATTTCTTCGCACGCAATGATAGCTATCGTAATGGGGGATACGAAGAAGCGAAGAATCAAAAAGTGTTTTCAGTTTGTTCGTTCGGCTTTCGCTCGAACAAACCAGCTTTGAGGCGCAGTGTTATATCAGACGTTTGGTGCGTCCAACACGCAGCAGAAGCAAGTCTGTTGCCATTAAACGTCCAGCGGTCGGGGCTATAAACACAAAGACGATATGCGGGTAGCCTACCATAGAGCTGATGCAGTCTATGTACTCCAACTAATTATTGCATGGCAAACGCAGGCAATTCTCTTAAGTCAATCAGTTGTCCTAAATACACGCTTTGTACGCTAGTTGCAATAAATCAGCTGTAGGCTCTTACATATCGTTAGCAGGTATCTGGCTCGTAGTTGGTAAGTTGTCCTATAATCCTTCTCGGAAAAACAGCGGGCCTAAAGCAAACCGACGATCGAGCCGATGTGAATAGGTTCGTGTCCTGCAGCAGCACCGCTGCTGCAACTGTGCACTACTGAAACAACCACGGTTAATTTTAGCAGCTGCAGCAGGAGGCTTTCGTCGTCAGCCAGCCAGTTAATATCAACGCTGACGGACGCCACCGTCGTCTTTCTTATTCGTTTGTCGATCCCTTTCTACTCTTCCTCTCAATATTGCAGTCTTAACACAAGTTATTGTTGTTGCTACTACTGCTGTTGCTGCTGACCAGTCGGTGGCCAGCCCAACGATCCAACAGCAGCAAAAGATGCGAGTAGGGATCGCTATTACGCTGTCAGGGTCGCCGATTGCCATCACTGCAGGCACTAGGCACACATCCACTAATGACTAAACAGGCTATACGAATAACACACAGGCTAACTTAGGAGAGCGGGGCAGGACACCACTGCTGTGGGTGTTTTAGCTACCTCAAAGAAGATTCGTGTGCGTGCGTGCGTGTGTGAGAGCTGTCCTGCTCCTTTGATTCCCCCTACCCTGTATAACGTCGTACGTTCGCTCAGTCGCTCATTCCCGTCGTCGTGAAAAAGTACAGCCAAACGTCGATCCAAGCACGACGATTTGGCGTGCTAGACTAGCTGGACGATTGGATGGCTAGCGGGCTGACTGGCTGGGTTCGGAACGCGTTTTCGTCAGTTGGCCGGTACTGATATTGTTATTTCTGTTATTGTACATGTATGATGTGTATAAATATAGCCGAATGTATATATATGGATACGAAATCAGTGTGTCGATTGTTTGTTTTCTTCTCTCGTCTAATCTTTCACGGTGTTCCCAGTTTGCAGAAGGAGCTGATACTAGCCAATGGTTCAGGCAATACAATGAATGGCAAGTTGACAAGGTACTAATTAACATTCGCTGCGAGATGGGATACAACTGCCACTGCTGCTGCTGGTAAAAACTAGTAGGCAATTCAGTCACTAGCAGAAGATTCGATCCCCTATTCCGAAGTAATCAGAATCGCAAATGGTGATCTAGACAGGTTCTCTCAAATTTTCGAGGACGAGATTCGCGTCTCTTAACACCGTCATCGTACTTACAGATACTATGCTACGCCGTAGTCACGGGGTCGTCCAGGATTCGTCCAAATTACTGTTGCGGTAGGAACAGTTGCAGCTGTAGTCGTAGTAGTCACACGAAATCCTCGATCGGATTGCAGGCAGTAGTGTAGCAGTAAGTAGTCAATCGAGCAGCCAGCCGTAGACAAGCTCTACTCGCACGACGGCAACACCACAAATAGAGAGCTCAAGGAATAGACAACGCCGGAGACGCTCAACGCAGCCGCAGATTGGCCCATCAATGTACAAGGCTGGCCCAGTAGCACAAACAGCTGATGCAGCCCGAGGCGCATGCGTCGCCTGGCGGTGGAGAGGGCCGCTCGCAGGCCCTCGCCCACTAGCAGTACCATCATTAGGCGTCCGTCTGTTTGTGCGTCCGCCGACGACAACGAGACAGCGGCAGCGTCAAGCAGCGGGAGCGACACCGCACACGACGGCGGCTGCTGGCGTAATCACCCTAGCTGCCCGTCCCAGCAGCAGCGGACACAAAGCGGGGCTCTTGCGACGACGGGCCGATAGCCACCACTTCCAGCAGCAGCGGCATCGATAGCGGCGGCGGCAGCGGCAGGAAACGATGAATGGAGGTGGCTGCCGCTGGTGCTTCGACGGAAGGAATGGCACAGCCCCGCCAACGACGAAAATGATGACAAAGTCAAAAAAGAAAAATCTTATATATATATATATATATATAATAAAGTTCAGAAAGAAAATTGATGACAGGGATTGGGACATAACGCGCAGCCATTGAGTGATACGACAAATCGGCGGCTGCTGCGCTCGCTCCCACACAGAAAAGGTAAGCGACTATGCGCGACAATTGAGAACGCGTCGTACAGCAATGCATGCAGGAAAAAAGCTAACACGAGTTAAAGCGCGAACGATGATACCGAACGAACATTCAAACAAAGCAACACCACGCTGGTATATAATAGTCAATAAACAGCAGCTGGAGCTAGTAATAATAAAAGCAAATAACGATGGTTGGCTGTTGCTTTTTGCCACTTCTGTTGATCAGGCCAACTACTAGATCGTCCTCTGTCTGCTGTCATCATCATTCATTCGATTATACATCGTATCTGTGTGGTCGCAGCGAAGCTCTACAATAGCAGCAAAATATCGTCGTCTGACGAGAGGCAATGTACTCGTTTTAGTTCAGTTAGAAGACAGATGGGTTCTGTCCATCTACTGATACTGGATAAACTGTAGGCACGAGTGTGACGAGTTGGCGTGCAGCAGATCACAGCATTCGTAGCGGCGTCGGTGATGGTGATTGTATTGGCGTATCGGTGGCAACTACCCATCAGATGTTGGGCGTTTGCTCACTTAATCAGCTCAATCGCTTGCGTTGTTGCTTGCTTTGTCCGTGCATCTGTCTTCCTGACGTTGCCGTTGGTTTTTGGCCTGTTTGCCTCCTGCAAGACGCTCTGTGCCGAGATGCTTTGTGCGACACGGTGTGGTATCGTAGGGTTTGCCCGCCCAGTACAGCTGCTGCGACAATGATGCCCAGAAGAGCTGGCTAACGGCAACAACATACGCAGTCACCGGGGCCAAAGCAGTACTGTTGTTCTAAAAGCTAATTATAATGCGGCCGTGATCTATTACAAGCTGTATGCACCGGATGATAGCTTACTTTTTTGAAAAACGATCATAGTTCTCATACGCGGGGTGATGATAACAAAAAAAGAAATACGACCGAGACATTAAGATGATGACAGTCTACTGTGAAATCTCAATCTCCTTCACTATAGTAACGACGGAGCTCGTATGTGCTAGCATGGCGTGCACACATAGCGATAGTGCGAATGGCTTCTGATAAACGGCATGATGAAGCTACCGCTATAGAGGATGGCAAACAAAACGAAGAAAAAGTGACACATACTGTATTTACAGTATCAGGTGTTGCCTACACAATGCGGAACAATATTGGAGGTAATGGAGGCTGAAAAGTGTCGGCCTATCGAAATCATTGATGACAAGCCAAACATGCTTTATAAATACATCCATCGCTCGATTTAGCTCGGACAGTAGATCTGTGTCGCGGAATCGCGGAGATATTTGCGGAACCTGAGGCCTGTCGAAACCCATGTCGACCCTTTTATAGAGACCTTTTAATTCTTTTCTAGTGCATGTTTGTATTACCGGGCTGCGCGGACGCTGCGCGGCTATATACTGTCTGGTCGGACTGCTACACCAGGCAAATACGCCATTGAGCAAATGACAGGTTGAAACGCTGTGGTGATAATTTACGCGTTGCCTTTCGGCGATGGCGGTGACGCTGAGCAGGACAGACAGACTACATCATACACCCTATGCTGAATGGGAGATCTATTCAACATAGATGCTTGGGGGTTCACCCCACGCCCTTCCTCCAAAATTGGGGAAGAGACAAGAAAAGGTACGGAGGCTATGCAGCATTAGAGGGTTACAGTGAGAGAAAGGGGGCAAATAGGGAAAGTATTGTCAAGAATAGGCGGGGTCTTGGAGGATAAGAGTCACTCACATTGTCTGCTGCTGTTATTACTGTGTTACCATGCTGGCCCACTGACGCTGTTGTGAGAGACCGCTGACAAAACCGGCGTTGCCTGTTCTTCTAGCTCGCCTGCTGCTGTCCTGTGCCGATGCTATGATAGAACAGAAAGACGACTAGCTGCCGTACACGTCGACTATCGTCGTCGTACCAGCGTGCAGTGACAATACTCGTCATAATCACATTTTTGTTTCTGACGGCTAATGCGTGGCAACGATAGCGGTCTTACTGCTCATGCTACAGCTGTTGCTGCTCAAATCTGGTGGCGGTAGACGACGACAGAACTGGCGACATACGAACCTGTTTGTCTCGTGGCAGGATTCGAACATTAGCTAAAGGATTAAATCGAAAGTCCGCTCATCGTCGTAGCAGCTAGCCAAGCCTGCCTACTGGATAATCCCTTTCGAGTTGTGCGACCTACGCTACCCTTTAGCATTAGTACAGATACTTGACCCCTGGCAGCGTGAAACAAATGCTGCCTACCTATTACCAGCTATCGGCCTACTTCGCTGACGGCGCAAGGTGCGTCCTCAATAGTAACAATACGTATATATACATATATAATGCATTGTCTGTCACCTGTTGGCGTCTTTGCTAATATTAATAGGCTGAGAGCGTGGCGCGTATTGTTTTTTGTTGATATTATTACCTACACGGTCACACACTTACCGTTACTACTATTAGTACGATCGCTATCAGTGCTATTATAACGGTAAAAATTGCGTACGTTATCGAAGCCATCGAAAAGCTGAGAAAGGCGGCGATAAAGACTGAGTAAATTATTACCCAAGGCAGGACGGAAGGCATTGGATGTACCCGACCGTGCCGATCCTCTTGCTGCTGATTCTCCAGTCCAAACGAACTGCCCTCCCCTGTGTCGATCACAAAATCATCATCATAATCACCATGATCATTATATGGACAGTAGCAGTAATTGTCGCACTTACTTATAAAAACACTACCTGCTAGGCTGCCTGCCCTTACCTAACCACCCAGCTACCCGACCGATCGACTGACCGATTGACCGCTGTCCATTCTTCGTATGACACAATAGAGTGGTTGTTACATTTATCTGCTGCATCATCGCTTTGGTTTTTAGGCTACAGGACAACAGCTCAATTGCCTGCTCCTAACCGCTTAGCAGGCTCTGGCGAATGTTTAGCTTGCTGGCTCTTCGCTGCGATTCGATTCACGGAGATCGCGCAATTTAAGTGGCGTCATAACGACGACGACGAGACCACAGCAGTAGCAACAATTAAGCTAAGACGCAGTATAAAGAAAATATAGCGCTCGTGGCCGAGACGCAATATAGTTTATCGGGATAAAGGCTTAAGTGTCGGGTGGTATAAAAGCTATTGCTTTTTGCCGATAAAAACATCGGCCTGGACAGCTTAGGAGAATTTGCCTAGAAGGCTGACCATCACTGTCGTGTTGTCGCTGCCATTTCGCTAGGATGCATACAACATACGTAAGCCAGACGCTCAGTTTGCGCGATCTTCGTAATTGTTATCGAAGAATGTGACACAAATAAATATCGCTGCGTGTCAGCACCGTCAATAGGCACCACACCTATGAACGTTATATTGATGTACTAACTGCGCTGAATTATGAAGCATTTCGTAACAGCCAGAACGCGTCATGTTTCAGAGAAAACTACGACGACTCGTACAATGCGGGCCAAGCTGTTATAAAGTAATAAAGATCTTTAGTGCACATAGTTGGAATTAGAAGAACTACGATGTTAGCTTGTTTCTGTGCTAACGTGAACGAAGAATAGTTGTTTTTTACTGGTTTTAATCTACTTTAACAGTATGTTGTTTTATAAGATTCGTTAGTGCTGTCGACAAGAACAATTATATCGCTTCCTAAACTAGAAAAAGTGCGCAATCTAGGAAAGGTCGCCGAGATGGGAACCGGATCGACAAAATTCGAAAACGTCTCAGTCGTAACATTTTTTGGATTTAAGAAATAAATGAAGCACTTAGGACGTACACATTCGTTATCATTTAAAGTTAAAACTCTCAATTAAATCTCTCAATGCAAACATTAATTGACGACTGATATAAGTTACGCTTTTACAATTGTTCCAGCTTCCATTGAATGGGACCTATTTTCCCAGATTTATTTGTTACTAAAGGGTCCACTATCTACTGCTAACTATGTTATTTGCAGAGACTGACTAGTGAAGACATCAATTATTGGCATTATCGAACGATGTTGTCTTTGTTTCTTCACAATTTAGATTAGGTTATAGTGGGGGGATATTAGGCGTGGCATAATTTATGAGTCTGCAATTTCTACGATTTAGCCAAATTGTAGATTTAGACTTGGACAGATTTAGAAAGACTTCCATTTTTAGTGAACCTTCTATCTGAGGCAATAAAGAACGCCACTTAAGGCGTTGACTTGCATTTCATAGTAAAACATATGCTACGAACAGGCCGCGAACGTTGATAGATACCATGGCGAATACCATAAAACAAGCCTGTACCGCTTATTATTTTTGCAAAAAATAGGATA